TTTTTTTTTTTTTCTTAATTTTGGTTTACTTGCTGCCCGTCAGCGATTTCAGGAATTTTTGTAGCTGAGAAATAGCGAAATTAAAAACGATATAAAATAAAAAGACTAGATGAAGGCCTGGGAGCTGTTGAACAAAACTAGACAGCAATGGTCAACTGCATATTTTCATTGATTAAAAAGAACAAAAGAGGAAAAGATTCAGCATCTTTTACAAGACGAGCATGTTGTTATCTATATTCATATGCGATTCGATGAATCTACATGTTACGGGTTTATGCCAACGCTTAAAAAAAAATTGGTTGAACCATATCACAAGTGGGAAACAATGGCGAACAACCACTCATTTCAATTTTTATCGGTGAACACAAATTAGCAGATGATCAGGGCATGATAGCCTCGAACCATTAGTCACAAATACTTTAGTCATTTTTCAAAGTAATGGTTTCGTTTAGGTTCTATAAAAGAACGAACAATCTTTCTTGTGCTGTGCGTCCTTGTTACTGATCTCATTACTGATCTCACTTTTGCACGATCCGATTGTAAAATAATTTTTTTTATAAAAAAGGTGCAGCAAATAGACTGTGGACATAACCAAGGGAAACCAACACAAGCAAACAGAACTTCACCATTATAAGAAACACGCAACACATTATAGTGGGCAAATACCAACAGACCTAGGTAACAAATCTTCAGAGATTATAAATTTATAACTAGCCTACTATTCACCATTGCCTAATGGAGAAACTAAACTTTCAACATAACCACTGGCCTCAAAAAGTACGTTCCAATTTCTAATTTCTGGGTACCTGAAAGAGCAATTCTTGGCATCAAAAACCACGAACTTAAAACCACAGTTAAGCACGACTTCCCCATTCTCGAGCACGAACAACACCGTTTTATAGTTCTTCCTCACAAAATCATTAACATGAGGGATAGTAAGCAAATTCACCCACTTCCCATTTCCATTCACATGATCATCCATAATCCAAACAACTGCCTGATTGATGTGATCGCACATCACGAAAACCCGCCCTTCAAATACTCCCAACCTAGAATAAAACCCACTTTTCACATAACTCGGCATCTCCAAAACTCCATGCTCCTCAGTTGACAAATCAAGAAAATCAATGTTCCATCCATATTTCATCTCCAGATATGAATTCGCAGTCCAATAAAGTTTCCCATCAGCAAATGCGGCCGTATCATCCATCAGCCAACGACCTTTAAAGCCCTTGACAGCTTTCCATCTATTGGTCTTCAAACTGTATACTTTCGCTACCACCTCAGATAAATCCCAAAGACGTCTGAAAAAGCCGACCACCTTGTAATCGTCGGTTGACTGGTCATAACCAAACCCATATTTGGGACAGATTATTTCCACACCGAGATCGGGGAGTTGTTTGGAAACTCCGGTGGTTGGGTTCCACAAAATCAAGTCTTTTTCGTCTATGGCGAGACAGAGAAGACCATCACAAGAGCCCACGACCGAGATTAGGTTTCTCGGTGAACGATGAATCGAGAAATCGACGTCAAGGGGATCAATAACGGGCTCGGACAACAGGGATCGGGCTGAGATGTGCTTGAAACTGTCACGCGAGTACATGATAAACCTGTGGTGGGTGAAATTTGGGTCTTTTGTTGAATTCATGAGGTGGGTTTTGATGAATCGTCGGCTGGAGATCAACGACAGCCATGATCTGCAAACGCACTTGAATTTCGAAAGGGGTTTAACAGGAAGCCTCTTGAGGATTTCGCAAACGATGTCGTCTGGGAGCTTGGTAACGGAATTGTTGGCGACCTCCATCAAAAGAGGTTAAAGATAAAGAAACTATTCTTATAAAATGCGAGGAATATAAAGAACACAATGTAAAAACCGGATCAAAATTATAAGCTGCTATTCTTCTTTCTCTTTTTCGTACCAACTTTACAAAGCTGATGGTCCCTTTTATAGGCAAACCTTAACCCACTAACACACACTTCAATGCACAAGATAATATTAATATTAATATTAGTGGTAAATTCCACATATTATAACACTCCCCCTTGGAATTACCACTATTAAACGTGCGTTTATGCTGCCTCGTTAAAAACCTTATCTGGAAAAACCCTGTGGGAAAAAAACAAAGATAAGGAAAAAAGAGTACAACCGCACATACTCCCCCTCGAGTTATCATCTGTACAAATCCCGAAGATGTCTCATTCCAATGTTGTGTACGTGCTTTCGAAACATTGTCGTCGGGAGCGCCTTCGTAAATAAATCAGCTGCATTATCGCTTGATCGAATGTATTGAACTTTGATTTGTTTGTTTCTTTCGAGCTCTTGCGCATATGAGAAGAACTTTGGCGGGATATGTTTAGTTCTGTCACTCTTGATGTATCCTTCTTTGGTTTGAGCGACACATGCTGCATTGTCTTCGTATATCACCGTCGGGTCATTATTGTTCGGTAGTCCACTGGCTTGTTGAATATGTTGAGTCATGTTTCTAAGCCAGATGCTTTCCCTAGTTGCTTCATGAAGTGCAATGATCTCAGCATGGTTTGAAGACGTCGCAACTAATGTTTGTTTCTGGGAGCGCCAACAAAATGCAGTTCCACCAATTGTGAAAACATAGCCGGTTTGAGATCTTGCTTTATGGGGGTCTGATAGATATCCTGCATCTGCAAAACCGATTATTTCATGTTTTTTATCGTTAGAGTAAAACAGTCCCAAATCGATTGTTCCTTGGAGATAACGGAATATATGCTTGATTCCATTCCAATGTCTCCTCGTAGGTGCCAAGTTATATCTTGCTAATAAATTGGTAGCGAAAGATATATCTGGTTTGGTACAATTAGCAAGATACATAAGAGCTCCTATTGCACTCATATATGGTATTTCAGGACCAAGTATTTCTTCATCTTCATCACAAGGTCGAAATGGATCCTTTTCAACATCTAATGTTCGATTGACCATTGGGGTACTAAGTGGATTCGCTTTGTCCATATTGAATCGTTTCAGTATTCGTTTAGTGTAATTAGATTGATGGACAAATATCCCATTTTGGACTCGTTCTATTTGCAAGCCGAGACAATATTTAGTTTGTCCGAGATCTTTCATTTCAAACTCGCCTTTTAGTAAAGTGACTGCTTCTTGAATTGCATTTGTAGTCCCAATAATATTAAGATCATCGACATAGACAGCAATTATCACAACTCCATCTTGTGATCTTTTTATAAAGACACACGGGCATATTTGATTATTTATGTATCCCCGTTTTTGTAATTGTTCACTCAAACAATTATACCACATACGCCCGGATTGTTTCAAGCCATACAATGATCTTTGCAGTTTTATCGCACATAACTCTTTAGGTTTGGACTTTAGCGCCTCGGGTATTTTAATTCCTTCTGGAATTTTCATATAAATGTCAGCGTCTAGTGATCCATATAAGTAAGCAGTCACAACATCCATAAGACGCATCTCAAGATTTTCATGGATGACCAAACTAATTAAGTATCTGAAAGTAATCGCATCCATAACAGGGGAATATGTCTCATCATAATCGATCCCAGGCCTCTGGGAGAATCCCTGTGCTACAAGGCGAGCTTTATATCTTGTGATCTCATTTTTCTCATTTCTTTTTCTGACAAAAACCCATCTATACCCAATAGGTTTTATGTCTTTAGGTATAATAGTAATATGTCCAAATACCTTTCGTTTATTAAGCGAATTTAACTCGGCTTGAATAGTACCTTTCCACTTGTCCCAATCATGTCTTTTCTGACATTCAATCATAGACTTTGGTTCAGGATCCTCAACTTCTTTATCAATTTCTTGTGATACCATATATGCGAATGCATCATCAATGATCTCATCACGCTTCCAAAGTTTCCCATTATTTACGTAATTGATGGAGATTTCAATATTTTCATTTCGTCCCGAAAATTTTCCATCATCTTGATTCTTTTTCAAATTCGAATCTTGAATTTCTCTTTTCTTTCGAGGATTCTTATCTTTGGACCCCACTGGCCTTCCTCGTTTCAAGCGTGCCTTTAACTCATTTGGCATATCGTCATTTGCCTTTTCTTTTGGAATCTCAATTCGAGCAGGGGCATTTATAGCTGCAACATGTGATTTTGTCACCCTTTTTGTGTCAGTAAATGCATCTGGCAATTGATTTGCAATATTCTGCAGATGTATAATTTTTTGAACTTCTTGCTCTCTTTGTTTGGTGGGAGGATCAAGATATGATAGTGATGATGTTCTCCATTCAATATTTTTCTCAATTGATTTTTCATTCCCACCTAAAGGGGGAAATAATTCTTCATTAAAATGACAATCATCAAACCGAGCTGTAAAAACATCACATGTTTTTGGTTCAAGGTATTTTATTATTGATGGAGATTCATATCCAACATATATTCCCAACCTTCTTTGAGGCCCCATTTTCGTACGTTGGGGCGGAGCAATTGGTACATACACTGTACAACAAAAAATTCTTATATGTGCAATATTTGGTTCTCGACCAGATGTCAACTGTAATGGCGAGTATGTATGATGTGCACTTGGTCTTATGCGAATTAGATTATCTGCATGCAGAATAGCATGTCCCTATACTGAAGTGAGCAGTTTTGTCCTCATTATCAATGGTCTGGCTATAAGCTGCAATCGTTTGATCAATGATTTTGCTAGACCATTTTGAGTATGAACATGTGCTACAGGATGTTCAACATCAATTCCCACTGCCATACAATAATCATTAAATGCTTGAGATGTAAATTCTCCAGCATTGTCCAGTCTGACCCTTTTGATAATATAATCTGGGAATTGAGCCCTTAATTTGATAAGTTGGGCAAGCAATTTAGCAAATGCCACATTTCCAGTGGATAACAAACTCACGTGAGACCATCTACTAGAAGCATCAATTAACACCATAAAATATCTGAATGGACCACAAGGTGGATGAATAGGTCCACATATATCACCATGAATTCTTTCCAAAAATAACGGTGATTCATGTCCGATTTTAGTATGTGATGGTCTTATTATCAATTTCCCTTGAGAACATGAGGTACACGTCAATTCACGTGTTTGCAATATCCTCTGATTTTTTAACGGATGTCCACTAGAATTTTCAATAATTCTTCGCATCATTATCGAGCCAGGATGACCAAGTCTATCATGCCAAAGTTTAAACATTTCATTCGCCTGTGACTTTGTTGCAACATAAGTCTCAATAATATAAATGCGGGTGTAATATAAGCCCGATGATAAAGTTGGCAATTTCTCCAAAACACATTTATTTCAAGCAACATTTGAGGTAATACAAAGATATTCAACTCCCCCTTCATTCATTGTTTCAACATGGTATCCGTTCATTCGGATATCTTTAAAACTCAAAAAGTTTCTTGTTGATTTCGGGGAGAATAATGCATCATTCAATGTAAACTTTGTACCTCCCATCATAAAAAATATGGCTTTTCCAGAACCCTCAATTATCTTTGCATTTCCAGATATTGTGTTTACTTTTGCTTTATTTAATTTCAAGTTGACAAAATATTTTTTGTCCTTGAGTATAGTATGAGTTATGGCACAATCTGCAAGACATATATCTCCATTTTGAATTCGAGACCGATCCATGATCTAAAAGAAAACAACATTATTATTGATCAAATTTGAAATACAGATACAACTAGTACAAATACGCAAATACAACAAAAACTTAGAAAGCAATAAAAGAAACATGATAATCAGTTGTTCTCTTGGTCATTTCCAGCTCTTTCTTCAAATATCGTATCAACAAAATCCAGGTTCAACATGTCATCGATGCCATAGTCATCATCTACACGTGTTGTATTATTTTCAGAGGATTCCCCAACTATAAAATTAGTTTCTACGTTTTTATCTTTTGATTTCTGGGAATCATTATATTTATCAACAACGTGTTTCGGAGCACGACAGTTTCGTGCCCAATGTCCCGTCTTTCCACATCGATAACATGCATTTTTATTATTATTTTCCGTCACATTATTTTGTTCAAATTTTGGCTGAAAATTTCTCCCCCTTTCAAAATTTTGGGCATAGCCACGGCCTCGTCCACGATTATTCCCTCGGCCCGAGTTGTACCCTCTGTGAAATTTGAAGCCTTGGTCAAATCGGCGATCTGGGCCATATCCACGGCCACGGCCACGTCTACGTCCACGTCCACGACCCCGGCCACGTCCCGAGGTATTTCCACGCACATATGTCTGGCTGTTTTCAGTTCCGGTTCCCTGTTTAGATATTACAGCATTTATTTCAGGAACCGCAGTAGACCCCGTGAGTCTAGATTCATGATTTTTCATCAACAACTCGTTATTTTGTTCAGCCAACAACAAACAAGAAATCAACTTAGAATATTTTACAAAGCCTTTTGCTCTGTATTGTTGCTGCAATAGTACATTTGAAGCGTGGAACGTGGACAACGTTTTTTCCAGCATATCATAATCAGTTATGTTTTCTCCGCATAATTTTAACACCGAACAAATGCGGAACATGGCCGAATTGTACTCGTTAACAGTTTAGAAGTCTTGGAAGCGTAAATGCATCCATTCATAACGAGCCCGGGGGAGAATCACCGTTTTCTGGTGATCATATCTTTCTTTTAAGGCTTTCCAGAGATCTGCAGGATCTTTTACAGTTAAATATTCATTTTTCAAAGCCTCATTCAAATGATGCCTCAGAAATATCATTGTTTTAGCTTTATCCTGTATTGATGAATCATTTGGGGAGATTATTGTTTTTTCTAATCCCCTTGCCGCCAAATGAATTTCGGCATCCAATGT